TCAAGCATATGTAGTCACAATGTTAATTTTTTTATTAAGATATACAGAATTTAAACAGCCCTGTTATGTTTTTTTTTATTTATTCTTTTTTTTTTTTTTTGAAAAAAATGTATGTTTGATGTCGTAGAGCTATACACTGTTACATTTGGGAACAACAATAGATCTTTTTCTCCTGTTTAGAGTACAAAGTAAATTAGCTTAATTCTAACGTAGTTTTAAAACGTTTAAATTAAAGCTGTAAAAATATTTATCATTGGAGTGAGTATCAAAAAATTACTTTATCTCTGTTCTTAACTATTCCTCATAATCAATACAAAAGATATCATTTAGTAATTTTTAAGTTTAAATTCTGTGTTTCGTAATGATCTCACATATATTTAACAAAGGAAAAAAAATATCATTGACACTTCCTGGGAATTTTTGGTTTCTTCGCCTTGCATAACATAGATATTTCTATACATAGCTGTTACAAGAAATAAAAATAAAATTAAGATAAAACAATGAAAATAGCATTTAACTTTTAATTGCAGTAAATTTAATTCAGGTTATACAGTTTGATCATTTTACATGGAATTCCTGTTAGAATTGTAAATTTCTTTATATTTTATTTATTTATCTTTTATTATGTTTTGGCTTGTTTGCTTCCATATCTTTTCATTATTATTTCGTGAATTTAAAATTTTACCGCATCAAAAATCAAGTTAATTCGTTTTGAGGCAATGAATGGTGTGAGTTTTGACATCCGATAATAATTATTTGCCCATATTGTAGTTTATTACTATAGACATAATTGCTGCACATTGTCATCCGCAACTCTTGCATTTGTAAAACAACGTAATTAAAATCCGGAATTTTTATTTTATCAATTGTGTAAGGTAATCTGTTTATTTGTCTACATTACGAGAATAAACCAGAATGAAAGTTTTTTGCAGGATCTTTTTAATCAGCTTGTATAATTAGTTAGCAGAACAAAATATCTAATATTGCCATCATTTTGTCAGTACATCAATATGTGTTTACAGAAATACATTATAATGTTGTTACACCATACTGTCTAGTCATATACTGGAATGAAAACTATATTGAATTTTAAATCTCCGTATATAATTCCGAATGTTAAATTCCAGGAAATATTTGTTTGTTACTACTATGCTACTTTTATATCGTTTCCATGTTCAACTTTTTTGTTTTCTTGCTCATGTCTGGCCAGGGCAATCAAAACAAAAAAAAGATGTATTACATATACTATCAAAGTTAACCTTATTTGTTAAAAATAAAATAGCTTTTTTAACATCACGTTAAGAGTGTCTCTGGATTGTTGATATTTAAATGGTATGAAAAAGCGGATTGAAGAATTTCCTCTTCTAAACGAAAACAGCCTGATATATAATGTTAGCAAGTTACCAGGTTTTCAGTAGACATGCAAAAAACTATATAATTATGCTAAATGGAATGGTATATGTTAATTCAGCTACGGTACATTCAAGCGGTATCGATATTTTATAAAGAAGTTTCATTGAGCTCAGCATGGTCAACACATTTGTTGATAAGAATGGAAACTACTTTATTTTAGATATGGTCATGTGCGATGAAAACCTCAAACATTCTGATTGACCGCAATTTTATGAAGAATTTTTTAATTAAATACTGATCATAAATTATAAATAGTGTATAATATGCTGTGATTATAACTTATAAGTTATTGATCAGCAATTTCACTATTGTCTTTATAAAAGGATAAAGAAATAAAATTTTGATAGTTTTAGACAAGTATTTCTCAGCAAAAGGTGATTAATATAACTACAAACACAGCAAATTCAACGGGCAAGATAAGAATATTTTTAATATCTGGAACGTTGCAATATTTTATAGACCAACAGAGTACTGAAGCAAGTTTTCAATTAGATAGAATGACACAGACATTAGAATTTGATGGCTTTAAATGTCTTTGGAAACATAATAATTCTCTTTAGAAGGATTTAAAATATCTGGAAGCAATATATGAGGTGATAGATATGATTAAGATGTAATGTGCTTTACTGGTTTATAACACTGATAATATAAAGAATATTCCTAATAATGAATAACACTTTTACAATGAATGGCCAGCTATTCCTAGAAACATTACTTCTCAAAATTGGAGGAAAGACGGTATCGTATTACTTATAAATAAATACCACAGAAATAACACAGACTGTCAAAAATTTTAAAAAATATATATATTGAAGGAAATTTATCAGACTTTAATGTTGATAGACTGCTTATACTTAGAGATGAATTATCTCAGATAAATAACGATTTCAATGATACTCTATAACACCAAGGTCCATATGATCTCATAAAGATGAGGAAAAAACTTTTGCACTTAAATAACAATGTTTAAATACATTCAATAAACCATTATATAAAACAAATGAAAATGGATCTATTATTAATAATCTGGAAGACATTTTAAAGGAAACAGAGAGATATAATTAAACTCTGTTTAGAAGGGGGATTCTAATTAAACAGTCGGTTTTAATGATTTTACATATAATATAGATAATACTAAAACTAACAGATGTAGAAAGCCAAAACTTGGAGGGTAATAAACATATATGGAAGCATCATTTATTTTAAGAAACGTGATACACATTAAAAGTGTCCTAAATTAAGCATATGATTCAAGTCAGGAGCTTATTACTAAAACAAAAGAAAACAAATAACATTTTGCTTTATTGGGATTTGTACAAAATACTTATTTCAACTTATGTACATCAATTAAACAGTGGTTCGAGATATTTTATAAAAACCTACATCAGCTGTTTGCCAATGTGTACTCTTATCTATATGTTTTAATGTACAGCGAAAATGTCGTCAAGGCAACCCGTTTTCATGCTATATATTTATAGAATGTGCGCGACTTCTATTCTATAAGTTTAATACCATAGAACTTATCAAAGGAATTCATATTCAATATACCATATGTTTACTTTTACAGTTTGCTTAGGCACCATTACAATGTTAATGAAAAAGCAGAATTTTTAAAAGCAACTTATTGTGTTTTATCAGTATTTGCTTCGATCTCAGGGCTCAGTGTGAACGTTAAAAAGACAATTGTTAGTTGGATAGGCATTAAAAAGTACAGCAGTGATAAAATAAAACAAAATGGAACTGAATTTAAATGAAACTAGTTTCAAAATGATTGAAAAACAAATCAATTAGGATCATAAAATAAAATGAACATAAATAAAAATAAACTATCCTCATTTAGGGTACAGTATTTATCGCAGAAATGATTGAAATCCATGAACTTCTTACTGAATAAGTTTAATTCGTGCATGTAAATAAAATTTCGTGGGTTTCTAGATGAAATACTTGTTAAAGTGTTGTTGTTTCCCCGTTAATTAGCCAACAGAGCTGACCAAAAAGTAGTTAAACATACTTCAATTTTATATCGAAGATAAAAAAAAACTATAAGAAAATGCGGAGAAAATAATAGAACCAACATATATAGTGCTGGCATAATACTAATTCATCAAAACCACCCTGTCCTTTTGACATCATAAGGAGTTTTCAAGTTCAATATTGCAAAAAGCCGGGATATGACGGTTATCGGGTATATATACATGTTAGCTTTATATTTATGCCACATTCATTCAAATGAGTTAACTTTAGTTGTGTTTATAGCGCGCTCTAGATTGTCTAATAATATACAGAAATACTGGTAGAAGATCGAAGTATGCCTTTGAAATACGTTCTAATAATAAGTATTGTTGTTGACCATCTATTATGGTATATATTATTCAAATTATAATGTATATGAAAAACTTTTATAACAGTCAAGCATGTAAGTTATAAAGAATAACATTTCAGTTCATATGATAAATATTGTACCTATTCAACATGAACATAGACAACGAGCGGAATAAAGATTGTCAAATGAAATATCTGTTCTGCATTTTGTTGAAATGCATAGAATTTAATTAATAATCTTCAGCCAAAAAAAAAAAAGAAAGAAAAGAGAAAAATCTACAAAGCGAATTTAATATTTTCACAAATTTCTAAGATCAAAATTACGATTATTCTTGAAATGAAAGTGACATAATTATGTGAGTATATACAAGTACATGTATATGAAAAGGCAATGCCGTCAGCTACATAGAAGTAACGAAGTCAATAAAAGAAGAGTATTTATTGTATACAGTTTTGTAGTTATTAGCACTATCAAAACTTTCTGACCTTTTGGTGTGTACAGTTGTCTAATCGTATCAAAACTTATCGTACACATACATTTTTGGACAAGCGGGCAATATAAATCTTTGAATAAAGGTTTTTGCTATGCAACTCAATAATGTGTTTCTACATAAGTATATTGTAAGTAGAAATAACAACTATTATTTTGATTATATGACTCTTTTACCATCAAAAAATCAGTTTTCGATTGCAAATTACACATTGAATCTTAACATCTATGATTTTTTGCAATTTTTAATGTAATTGACTCAAACTATTTTATAAACTCTGATGTGTGTTTATATTTTCTCCGAATCGTTATATTAGGCCTCCCTTTAAAAAGTATCGTACCTCTATATGTTCGTCCATGAGATACACATATATGACAGTTGGGCTATTTAGTAGATCTTTCTATAATTTTGTTAGTGTAAAAATAATTATATAGGTTATTTAGGCATAACTTTTGTATTTACAGTAAATATCTGTTAAATATGAAAAAGTTTACATTATCATAATATATAACTTAGATTATATATACTAACAACTTAGCTATTATAGCCTAAAAACAACAATATGTTGAATATTACAATAATTACAGACGACACTGTTGCTGTACTTAATGAAACATAGAATATCCTTACTTTTTTCATTTGTTTGCCAATAATATAACCTGCACATTTATCAAGACAATTAAACCCAAACCAGAAAATTCGATTGGGGCATTTTGTGCATAAAAAAATTCAAAACTATCATCATTCATATTAATTTCGACTTTATTCTTGAAGTTCGATTGGTGAATGGCTCAAATCCATCTGAAGGAAGACTGGAAGTATGGCATGATGGATATTGGGGAACAGTGTGCGATGATGACTTTACAACGCTGTCTGCAACTGTTGTTTGCAAGATGTTAAATTATCTACAGTAAGTAATAAAAACGACATAACGTATTTATCGATATGTTAACATATATGTAATATAGAAGAAAATGTCTTTTATTTCCCAGAGGTGAGCTATTGTAATGACAGTATGTTCATCTTTCCTTTCGTTGTTTCTTAACTAAAGTTGTTTTTTAACAAAAAGTCTTAAATCGTGAAAGTGATTTCGATCAAAGTTCACATAAATGACTGTTTCAACCTGATGTAACGGTCAGAAAATATGGAAATAAGATTCTTCAATGTCCAAGATCGATATTAAGCATGCACCATCATATTTCATGCCTCTATGAAAGTTTTAATAATTCCCCTTACGTCATAAATGGTCTTGTACTGGTAAAATTTAGTTTATAGGGACATTAATTAATCAACTACCCTAGAGCTTCGTCATGTAGCACTGCCAAGTATACTTTTACGAAAATTATATTATTCTGCCCTTTGGATCGATCAAAAGTGGTCCTACAAATAATTTAAATCATGCCATTATGGACATAACAATTTATCCCGCCTTAGGGACTTGTATGGCAAACATTCCGAAACATCAATGCTCAGAAATACATATTCAAGTTATAAAACTCATCCTCTAGCAAAGTTAATATGACATAAATTTAAATCATGTTTAGATACTACATGCAGCTTGGATAAAAAAGTACACCCAATGTGATCACATCACTTCTTTAATTAACAAGAAAAATATTAATTTACGTTCAGACTGCGACGGCAGTGTGCATTTAAAGGGACCTTAAAATCTTAGATCTGATACAGTTGAATGAAGACAAAACAACACTATTTTTTAAAACATCTTGAATATGTTATTTTTTCACATTGATTAATTCTATGAAGCAAATAAACTTTTCAAACTTGTTTGTTTCATTCAAAATACACAGACGTTTGTTTAAAACTTAAAATCAAAGTTAAGCAGTGTTGTTTAATTTCAAAAGAAATGTTTTCATTTTACAATGGCAAACATGTTGAGATTCAAGCTATTGACTGATGTTAATATGTTATGATAAAAACAACATTTAAATCCCTTTAGATGAACATATTTGCTGATATTTCTTAATTCAAATTTCACCATTACATTTAATGTTGAATACTGCTTAGGTCCATGCTAAAGAGCGTGGACGGTAACTTGCAATTTCCAGGATAAATCAAACCGAGTCTGCAACATTGTCAGTTTTGCTGTTTTGAGTGTTCCTTGGGGATTCTGTTTTCTCTATTTTAGTACAGATCCTTTGGTTATAATGTCCGCATACTTCGGCGCCGGAAAACTGCCAATACACGATGTTAATTGTACAGGAACTGAGATGAGCTTACCGCAATGTCCACCTAGAAGTTCGGGATCAAATATTTGTAGTCATAGAGAAGATGTCGGCATATCATGTACAAAAGGTAATCCTTCTAATCTTTGAAAAGAAATATATTTTAAAATAGCAAAATTTAGTTATATTGACAATTTTAAGTCGGCATTTTATAGTAAAAGATGGGACTCCCTTAATATCACATAATAATGGTTACCTATCGAAGACAGAAACAGAAACTTGCACTTTGACAGTATATCTGAAAGTGTTTATCTATTTTAAAGTGTTGAACTACAATGTTTTGGTATTGGTTATCATAAGGCTTACTGATTTGAACAAAGTTTGCTTTTATCACATGTTGAAATTGTAAAAAGGGAGATAATAATTTAGAAACATCGCTATCATTCAGTATATCTTATAAAGCTTATAAAATAAAATGAAAATTATCTATCTATAATCTATTCAAGTTATGGCATTATGCTCAATGATTCATATGATTCTTTTTTCATATAACATAAATTACTAAATGATAGCGATTTTTCTAAATTATTATCTCCCTCTTTACAATTTCAACATGTCATTATAGCAAGTTGTTTTCGAAATTCTAAACTTTCACATAAAATTGTTATTTTCATACTTGTTGTAATTATTTACTAGCCTAGTTTCTCTACGAAAATATATGTATCTTGTGATCCAGTTATTTTATGTAATTCTTTTTGAAAATTATATATGCAATGTAAAATAATTACGTTGATACAAACATATGCACATGTTTTATTTATCTTATTTAAATATTATAACGTTTTTTACGCGCCAAATGCGGCGCCTTTTAACGTAGATGTCTGTTTTGTACGTTTACGTCATTTCCTTTATGTATTGATACATGTATTGATATCTAAATTTGTATTGGGTTTGATCGATTTGTCCTTTGATTTGAACAAACAAATTCATAACACGTTGGTTGTCCCAATTATCTGTCACAAGAGTGTTTTAAAATTAAAATTATAGGTAAAATAAGATATTTTTATCTGTTAGAAACAAATTCAATTGAAACATTTTCAAAAATTTACATAGAAACATCTCGGCAAACAACAAAATAATTACAAAAATTCCACGGCAAGTATGTGAATCTCGACGCACGTTAAATTGCAAAGACGAAGCAAAAACCTATATTATGGGTGTTATTCAAAATACTTTCAGTGGTATTTAACGCAAAAACAGTGCCGCTTTACCATGAATCGCCAATAATAGACTCAGACCATGAGATTGTTGGTCCCTGTTGAATTTACTTAACAAAATGATAAACGATTGCAGAGATAAAGATATTGAATAAACATATTATGTTAGTTTCCAGCCTTAAAGACATCCTGAAATATGTTTAAAATTGTAATGTATATTTGTTTAAGGAAAAATGATTAAGAATTATAGCAAAAAATAATTAACCATCCCTAATCAATACAATCACTACATCATCACTCAATATTTAGACTAGAACATGACTTGCTTCACAATTATGCATTTATTAGGTCAAATTCAAGGTTCATGTTCCCGTGTATCTAACACTGGTATATATTTTCTTTAGAAATATCAAATAACGGTCTTCCAAACTCGCTTTTTATTCCTCTGAAATAGTTTTTATTAAACTAAACTACCTGTAAATCAATATTTACTGTTCTTTATATGGCGAAGATGATATTAAGTACTATCTCTACCATAAATTGTTTATTTTTTATTCAAAATGTGATTCGCAATATATTGCTCCTCATCTATGATTAAACATGTGTAAGCTATCGGGTAGATCCGTCGATAGAGTTTTCAACTGGTTTACGAGTTATTGAGATTTTTCTTAAGTAAAACTTTGCTATAAGAAGGGCTCTTTTTCAGAAAGAGAAACACTCAATATTCTATTTTATAATCATAATGAAAAAAATATTTTCCTTTTGAACATTTTGTTTCTAAGAAACAAAATATAGCATTCAGATAACAAATGACCAAGCAAAATTATTGTTTCTACTCTAAATGTTTGAAATATGTATATAAATGTTGCCATACACCACCCATTTTAAGTAGTTGTTAGATAATTTTTCTAGTTCGAGGGCCTTATTCAAAATATTCCTAAAATTTACTTTAAACAGGGGCTGTTTTCAAAGTTTGCATAAATTTTCCTGAAAGTAAATTGGTTGCACTTGTCAAATATAAAATACTTTTACCGTCTAGGTTTTATTTTATTAGACTTTGAAAATATCCGGAAGCATATTTGATAATAAATTTGGCACAATTTAGCCAATAAACACCAATTATAATTTCATTTGAGAGATACAAATAATGTTCAAAAAAAAAGAAAGAAAAAAAGTTGTCTCTTCACGGATATTCATTTGCAAATGTAAAGTTGTCCGCTTCTGGTCAAGCTGAAAGTTTTTCTCATCCTGTGACTGCATATAACCCTGAGTTTAATTAACTATGCTCTGTAAACATCAGAAATTTAAGGACACAAATCGATATAGTGGGAAATATGTTGTGGTTTATAACTGTTTAATTCATAATTAAAGAGAAAATGTGTAGCCTGCCTGATAGCTCAGTTGGTCCTCTGACAGTCATGGGTTCGAGTTATGGTAAGGCAGTTTCAGTCAGTGTTTAGAAGTGGTTTTTCAACTGACACATGTTTGATTCATGTTACAGATTGTATTAAATTTGAAATGGACAAAGGCAGTATTGCATGATACTTTTAGATCTACATGTAGATACAGTTGATTACACTATACTGCATATGAAGAAGTTCTTCTTCTCCTTTTTCATGAAACTTGAAGCATCTGCCATAGGTTATGACATTCTTACATGGTTAAAGTTTTATCTCTAATAGACAGCAGCTGATGGATATGGCTGGTACTCATTTTACTACTACTCCGAGTACCTATGGTGCCCCCCTGAGGTTCATTTTTTGTCCTCTTTTATGTCTAATATATGTCAATGACATGTTTGCAGCCCTAAGCAATAAGCTTTTATTATATGCTGATGACTCAAGTATTCTTGTATCTGGTAAAATAAATCTGAAGAAATTCTCTCTTATGGCATGAGTCTTATAAGATTGGTTAATTGACTATAAATTGTCTTTGCATCTTGGCAAGACAGAGTCTATTCTTTTGGGTTCAACTTTCAACTTAAACAGGGTCCTAGCCTCCAGGTCACATGTAATGGTACTGCTATAAAGTACACATCTTTTGTTAAGTATTAAGGTGCAAAACTTGATCAATTTTTTTTGGCGTCGCCTTTGATGCTTTGCATCAATGCTTTTCTTGTTAACATGTCAATTGCATACTGATTATATGGTCAGTGACAAGAACATAAAACATCGACAAATCCTCGATAGTGTCAGTAGCAAGTATGGACAGAAAACGACAATAAATATTGAACTTTCTTACTATTTGTATAAAAATAGAGAAAACAGAATACCTTAAGAACCCCAACACGGCAACATTGAAAATGTTGCAGGCTTTGTTTGGTTAAGCGTGTTCATGGACGTTAGTGGTATTTGCAAGCTACCCTCCACACTCTCTAGCACCGACTTAAGCAAAATTCAATATTTAACATGCACTGGTAAAATTTTGAATTTTGAAACATCCGCCGATGTGTTCATATGGCGGTTATCATGGAATATTCAATGTGACACATTATTTGCATTCAATGAAAAGAGACTTATGGTCTCCAAGTAAAAAAAAAGCGTGTGCCCTAAATGAGAAAAACAATGGACAAAAGTAAATAAAATGGAATTTTGAAGGGGGATCGGGGAATATAAATCCTGCATATAACATATAAACTGTCAAAATAGTAAATCAAAAAGCAGGCTACATACCGTTAGGTTATTAAACTATTAAGGCGAGAACAACCCGACTAGAAAAAAATCAAATTGAAAAGAACTAAAAATACAAAAACATGCTATTAAAACAATAATGTCGTGCTGAAGATTTACAACGCAACACTGTTTAAAAATACTGTTTAAAATATATGTTCCTATAAATTTGGCTGTACAGCGAATAGTGAATAATTGCGATGGCTGATCTGATTGTAATGTTTGGTGAACAGTTTTTATGGTGAATCCTGTTAATTTCAATTAAAGTTATTTTTATCATTATGATATTCTAAAATGATAAGCAAAACGAGAGAAAATGTATGAAAGATATTTATCAAATTGTGGAAAAGAATGTGCTAACTCTGTGATCCAACGCCCGCTGAGCTAACGTTTCAAATATGACTATTGCTTCACGCTAACATAATTGACTAAATTTTATTAATATGAAACGTATATTTCAATTTGTCAATATTTCGAACTGGTCTTTGCCATATACTCTACCAAGTTACTGCAAAAGTAATGCTTACAAGGGAAATTCTTGGTTTTAATAGCTGAAATAAAATCCATAACACTCACAATATATCACTAAAAGTGTGGGTAATATAATTTTGCAGAACTTGTAGTCTGAGTATTAATATATGATTCCGGAAATTTTCAATCTACATAACAAATGTATTGTTGCTCTTTGTTCTTGATAGCATAGTTCCGAATCAATTTCATAAACGTTACTGCACTAAAATATTAAAAAGTTACACACCAATGATAACTCTAACCTGTATTTATTTTGATTGCATAGGGTACGCATAGGCGTTGAAGTCTGACTCTGACGGCATTTTCTTTACATGCGTCTGTTTCCCATGTCTCATGAAATTTTTAATCATGATTAAAAACAAGAAGAAAGTTTGTTTGTTTTCGAAAATATTTTTTCAGCAACCATAGACGTCATGAAAGGTCATTGTTATAAAATTGTATTTCGACCAAACACATGATAGTTTACTAAACAATTGTTGTAACAGTTCTTGCAAGTTTCATTCACTGCAGATATTTAATTTTTGCTCTAGTAACATGTTTTATGTTACATTGTATTGTACGTGTAAATAGAATTTACTAGCATGGGTTCCAGTTCGGCAAATCGACTACATATCAATCTAAATAAGAAAAAAATATCAACGCCTGAATCCCAGACTAGGATTTTAAATATAAATCTGTTTTCTTCATCTACAGGTCAAATTATAAACTCAAGCGCTTTGCCATGGAACGGAAGTTCATTGTTGTTGTTGACTGTTATATTCCAGGATAAATTTATCACTAGAATTATGCTCCTGATAAGCTTAACATTATTGCCACACTTTCAAGTCTTTAACGTATCTGCAGACACCGAATTTCATTACAAAAATAGCGCAAGGGTTGGGGGAAAGAAAATCACATGTGCCGAAAGATTTGAGTCGGTGATCCCCTATTTTTTAGGCATCTAGACATAAGAGTAATTTTTATATTAAAGCACGTTTAAAGAAAAAATCTAAACTTTATTTCGGAAATTTTGGTAATAAGCCGCTTTTAAGTCCGATAATTTAGCTAAACTAAACGTTAAATTTTACACAAATGGACTATTTTCTTTTATTTTTCACACATTTTTCGACGTAAAACGATTCCTTACGAAAAAATGATTTCTGTTGCATACTGTAGTATTTAGGATATCTGAAGTGGGCACGTTATGCTCAGGTACAAATGTTAGGTTGATAAAACTAAGTATGTTGACAAATGAAGTTTGTGGACGAGAGAAATGTGAATGCTATGATTATAAAAATAGTCATAACAATGAAATTGATACATGACTGAGATATAATGATGACACCAACCGCTTACATTTGATCGCTTCATGTAAAAATATATCAAGAAATGCACAAATATTATACTTTTTAGTTATTTGTCGACTCTTTAAGATCTTAAAGATGAACAATTTAACGACCAACAAACGCAAAATTATAAAAGTATCATAAGTATTGTTGTTTCAAATATTTATTCTTTTTTGAAGTTCGACTGGTTAACGGATCAAGTCAATATGAAGGGAGACTGGAAGTATGGCATGATGGGTCGTGGGGAACAGTGTGCGATCATGAGTTTACAGCACTGTCAGCTCGTGTTGTTTGTAAGATGCTGAATTATGAAGTGTAAGTAGGAAACAGTATTTACTATTTCCGTTTATGATAACGTACTCTTCAAACGAGGATGAAAATTTTATGTTTTTATCTATTTCTAAAATATCTTCTGGAAACTTAGAAATCACAGTAACTCCGTTTCGCTAGTTGCTTTTTTATGGAAGCGTGTCCGTCGTTCATTGTTATCCACAATTTCTTTGAACTTTAAAATTTCGTCAAAACTTCACAGGGGGTCTTTTACAAAACTTTTATAAATGGTTCCAGTCTGATGCTATTGAAACATTATACTGTCAATATTATCAAAATTTATTCTTCTGTTGATACAATGCCAAAAAACACGACAAACAAGACCAACAAGGAAAGGCGGCGTTCAATGAACGCAACCCCCACATGACCCAGCAACAAGAACCAGCGGCAAGGAGCCCAGGCGGACCCCTAACAAAATCAGGACAGGGCAAAGACAGAGCACGGCCAGGTTAATCATTAAATGATAAATAAATTGTAACTGATTAGAAATTCAAAGAAAAGAATAATAGGCCCACAAAGGGGAAGGGGACAGGAGACCGGGGAAAGGGGGGGGGGTGTTAATCAAAGAAATAAAAACTAGAGGTAATGGGGAAGATACTTACCGTAGACGAGAAAACAACAAGGGACACAAGCAAAAGTGTCATCAAAACAGTATGAAACAAACATAGACATACATCTGGGAACACAGAGGGGCGCCGCCTTGGAACGGTCAGCAGCATAATAATGACTGCTGGGAGTTTAAAACTGGTTAATGGTGCACCAAACCTCGCTCTTAGCCCCACCATGTTCCTATAAACGAGACAGTGTAAATAAAATGAATCCCCGCCAAGTGAAATTCTAACAGTTGTCATGGTTTCAAAAGGTTAAATAAGTAAAACACTAAAATGATCATGTAGAAACATATAAAAGTAAACCCAATGACCATAACAAAAGTACTCAAAACTGTACACTTACAAATTATTTAAAAACTGTATAGGATTTGAAAAATATTTATCATGTGTAAAAAAATGATTCTCATCGCATAGCTCTCACTAGACTTAGATGTTTATCACATAGACTAGCAATAGATGGAGGTAGATTTAGAAACATACCAAAAGAAAATAGAAGATGTATTTTTTGCAATATGAATGTTGTTGAAGATGAATACCACTTTGTTCTTGTATGCCAACATTACCGTGAAATAAGAAATAAATGTCTTCTAAAATATTATTGTCATTAGCCAACACTACAAAAGTTTCGTATGTTACTGTCAACACAACAATCAAATGTATTAAATAAACTTGCTAAATATATATTCTCAGCAACAAAACTACGTTTTCCAGAAATTAGTTAAAAATAAAAATTTAAAATGTAAATATTATTTAAATATATGATGTCATGAAACCATAATATTCAGGTCCTACCTGATTTATCTGAACTCCTAATATAAACAAAACAATGACCGCCCCAGAAAGTAATATTATTTACTTTGTATGCACCAGTGATCAGATGGGCCAAGTTGTACTGGTACGGAATAGTGTTCTTTTACAAATGTTTGTATTTTTTCTTTATTTGTGTTTCAACTTTGTATAAATCATTTGTTTTGATATGATTAATTTTATTCTATACTTTCTATTTCAATATTAATGATGTCACTGGTTATATATATTCATGTGAATATTGTTTTTTAGTTATTTTTATAGTTCATTGTAATATCATACTCATGCTCTTCTCATTGTAATAAATGTCACCGCCTTGCATGTTATATACGTGGGTAAAGAACATTTAAATTATATGTTATTTTGTTTTTGGAGTGATATATGTGGATATATTACCTGGCAAGATTTTTATATCACCCGAGCCGTTTTTATTCCTCCCCCATGCCGAGTAAGATTTTAATATAATCATTGCTGTTTCAAATTCTGAAACGTTCGAATAGATTCCTTTAGGGGTACCCCTTCAACAACATAGACGTCACATAAATCACATGAGTATTTGCTTTCGCACCTAACGAATGTAAACATGAGAAAAGGGGTAGTCTGTCGAAGACTTTTTTGTAATTAATATCAAGGCATTGATGCACCATCGGGTGCCTACCGGGCTGACCCAGGGGAATTTACATCTTAAAAATGTTTGAAAAAAAAAGTTCTAAAATCCCCACCCTAGAGACAACCAATTTTGTTCTAAATCCCCATCTTGAGCCTGCTTGGTGCATAATCCGGGGATAGGGGAGAGGGTAAATAATCTAGAGATTAATCAATAAATAAAACTGTTATCCGAAAAACAATGAAAAATATAAGTACAAAGGCTTATCATTAGGAAAATAATGAATCCAGATTAATGGGCATCTGAAGTAAGGTAGGTATAATCACTCCCAATGAGTATATATGTATCAATTTTAGTTTAATAACTTTGGTAGTATTCAAATAATTAGACTTAGAAGAAACTTATAAAATGGGTATTTTCAAGTAATAAAGGGGCATAATTCTGAAAATAATGCATCCAGGTTATAGGCCTTCTTAGTATGGTAGTGGTAGTCCCACTAAATACCGTACCTAGTTTCAATTGAATATCTTTCATAGAATAGAATGTATGACTTAAATAACTTAAGCCAATGCGGACACGGACACACGCTCGATCGTATAAGCTCTTTAATATTTTACATGTGTAGTTTAGCTACAAAATAAACCTACTAACCTAGTTTCTGACGTCACATGACCCAGTTTCTGTAGGGATGGTAAGCATGCTGACCAAGCTTAATTATAATTGAACCATATCTGTGGCCTCTTAGAGTGTTAAAACACTAAAAGTTGAGGACACAAGATTTGCGAAGACAGACATTCACCGATCATGATCACAATATCTTCTCGCTCACAGCTCAAATGAGCTAAAAACTTACAACACTTTAACTTCTTATTTTATTTTAACATTTAACACAAAAAGTCATTAAAAAGGACATTCTTCCTCCTCCTGCGGCCAAACCTGGACACTTCCACATTTTTACCTGAAATAGAGGGCATTTTATAATCTTTAAGGTTTCAAATTTAATAAGTTTCATTTAAATCTGACCAAAAATGTTCTAAGATTTGACCTAGTGACTTAATTTTGACCCCTTATGACCTAATTTTGAACATGTTCTAGATTTCATAGAGATGATCATTTACACTAAGTTTCATGAAGAATGGGCCAAAAATGTGGCCTCTAATGTGTTCGCATTCTTTTTCTAAGATTTGACCTAGTGACATAGCTTTTGACCCCACATGACCCAGCCTTGAACTTTGCCGAGATTTCAGCCAAACATTATGACCAAGTTTCATGGAGAAACGACAATTATAGCTCACCATGAACACAAAGCTACAAAAAGAACTGACATAATTTTCTTAAGCTGGGTTGCATGGTGTACTCACAATCTGGTGCACTCTCCTCAAGAGCCTGGATAGGAGCAGGAGCCTGGATGGGAGCTTGAGTCGGGATATATAGGAGCTTGAACCTTGATAGGAGCTTGAGCCTGGATAGGAGCTTGAGCCTGGATTGTTTGAAAATTAATAATTTAGTAGCACAACTTAACAAAGATTTCCAACATATATTTTTGATAGATAAAACAATAGGTTGTTTTTAATTCTATTGGAACAAAAATGGTACTGAATTTTGTTTTTAGTTTTTGTTGAAAACACACTATTTTCTAAAAATTCTGCTAGTACTAAGTCTATCAAACTAATCTTGCAATTATGGTGGGGAATCACGTGATATTGAGACCACATGACATGGTATTGCAGCAATTGATAATTTTTCAGATTCAGGTGTCCAACTGAGAATTTTGTCAATATCTTTGTTTAACAGAAAATAGTTTGGAGTATGCGTAACTGACATGACTTGCAGTAGCCCCTAGTGACATTATAAACAATATTGTGCTTTTTCAGGAGAATCCACCAATTTTAAGTTTAAAGGAACATAATGCTTTTGTGAGTAAAATTTCAATTACTGAATAAACAGATCATACTCATCCTCTTATTGAAGAACATGGCTCATTTCCGCATTACTATTCTTCAGAAATTATTTTTTAATCCAAACATACTTCCAATTATTACATTTGCGCTACATGAGCGCAATATATTAATAGCGTATTTCGAAGATTTTCTTTCATGTCTTTAAGAAATCAAATGCAAATTTTTACATCAGAATTCTACTTGTTGTCATTGGCGTGAATACTCTTTTATTTCAAATAAAGTTTACAAATGCATAATGGGACTTTAAGATACAATGTTACGTCACAGGTCACCATATCAATGATTCCCCCACCATGTCAATGATAAAATACACATATTTAGACCACAGAAAAGCAATACCTCTTATGTTTTGTATGGCTTTCAGAAAAAAAGAGTTTTTTGGCCTCAGACTCATTTATTTAATGTTGAGGCAATCATTTATGAAATTCAACTCATAATGTCATTGTGTCTGAATACCTTTTTTCGAAGACCGTGTCTCGGACGCCTTTGCCTTGCCCCTTTTTCTGTTGGCAGCAACACTCGTCAAATAGTCCAATCAAATGTTCACCTGTTTAAATATAAATCAACATTTTAATGCATTCACATTTATCAGATTAGAACAAAGCCTTAACATAGTTTCTGCAGATTCAATTTACTTTTTATTAGAGAAAGTCACGACAAGACCAATGAAGTTGAAACCGATAGCCAAGATTCAAAGCCTCGTTATGACAAGCAGTTGAAACAGTAAATGATAAAAACCAATGATGGTAATACATCTGAAAAAAAGATATTATTTTATCTAGATCCGTTTTGACATATTTAAAATGCATTTTCTTACTTTATTAAAAATCATATTCTAACAAGGCTCACATGAACTACTGACTTGGAGTCCCGTGACTTCAGCCTTTGGATTGGGACTCCCTTGCACGGATGTGCAGGTTGATCTGGATCTGCACTGGTCGCATAGGTGTTAAAATAATTAAAAAATGAATAATTAATAACATAATTCTGTGTGTATGT